CCCCTGTGCCTGTGCTCACTTACAACGGTTACATTTAGACACTAGGGTTTGGATAGAGTTGGGGTGGAGGGGAAACTGGCACCTTGCCAGCCTTTGCTCCTTCTTCTTTCCTTTTTAATGGCACTCTACAACAACACACATCAACAGCACATCTAGGGGTGGGGGTGTATGTGTCGGGGTCTTATTTTTATTTATTTATTTATTTTTTTTTCTCCTCTTCCTACCCACCTAGTTCCCTGACTGCCATTCCGGGGGTGGGGTCCGGGAGAAGGGCAGGCCGTCGGGTGTTGACCAGGACTATGTGGGGGTTCGGGGTCTGGGGGTTGCCGTGGGCGGTGCTGGCGCTGTGCTCTCCCTGGGGTTGTTTGGACCCCCTGAGCTTGGCTCTTGGGTGCCATGGTTGGCCCGCTGACCGGGGTGGCTGCCGGGGCCTGGCAGGCGGTCGGCTGGGGGTGCGTGTTTGGTTGTTGACGGTGTGTGGGGGTGGTTGGTGGCGTGTCCTCTTCATGGTGGGGGGGTGTCCTGTCGGCGGGGCATGGCCTGGGCCGGTTCTGGGGTATTGGCTCTTCTCCGCTCAGGAATGAATGGGTTTACCTCCTGGGTTTGGGCATGGGCTGCCCCCTGTAGAGGGCGGGTACATGTCTTGGACCTGGGGGGTTTAGAGTGTGTATCGGGAATAAGAATGAAATGTATCGTTATTGTATGTCTTTGAGTGAATGAATGTGAGATTGAGGTTGGGATAGTGTGATTGTGTCTGTGTATGAATGGATATTTGTTAGGCCAAGACTCGGACTGCCCCCTCTTTGATACAACTGGGGGTGCTTGGCATCGCGCCCCTATCGCGCGGCCCCCTGGTGGGGTGTGCCCTTGCCTGCCGGCGCGCTTGGGGCCCTTGGTATCGGGGGCTGGGCGCTTGGGCGTGTGTCGGCTCGGCCTGGTGTCTGCCTGGTGGGGCTCGGGTCCTCTGGCCCTGTCAGGCCTTGGCCTGGGTGGTGTGAGTCCTCGGTGCCCGGGCCTCGGTGCCTGGACCTGGACCTACATCGGTGCGGCGGGTGCCGACGGGGGCCTATGAGTTTGTCACTGTTGGCCCCGGGGGGTCACTGTATGTGGTTGCTGGTGGGGATCTTCCGGTTCTCCCCTGTGGTCCGTTCTGGGGGGTGGGTGAGTGGTTCGTCCTGTGTGGGTGGCTCTGGGGGCTCCGCGGTCGGGGTCCCTCCTGGGGTCTTGGACTCTGGTCCCCCCTTTTTCATCTGCCTCTGGTCTTGGGGGTCGGGTCTCTGCTGCTTCACAGTTACTAATAAATGTTCTATTAGAGAAGCCTTATACACTTATGCATGCTCACAACCACACACAAATAGAAGCAGGGATGCTTATTTAGGCTTTATATGTAGATATATAGATATGTATGTGAGTGTATATTCATGTGTATGTATGTATGTATGTATATAGGCGTAGGTATGGGTATATATATTTATGGAAACTTACTGCAAAGCCATGAATATTTTAAGTTCTTTATACATATGTATTTTGTTGCTATGTTTTGTCATGTTCTTTGCAGGTGAACAGACAGTGGCCGGGTGTTTTGACGTGTGCTCTATTTGTATATATTTCTTATATTTTGGAGTCTTACTTTGTCTTTTCTTTCTTTCTATCCTATTGGGAAAAAAAAAAAAAAAAAACAACCCAAAATAGATAATAAAAAAAAAAAAAAAAAAAAAAAAATAATAAAAAAAAAAAATAAAATCTGGTCCTCTGGACATTCAAAAAAACAAAACAAAACAAAAAAAATTGTAAACCGCTATGGGTTGAACGAGTATATAATTTTTAAACTCGACATTAACATAATAAAACCCGAGTAGAACTCGAGTATTTGATGACGTCATAGATCTCAAGATACAAAAATAAATAAATAAATAAAACCGAAATAAAAGGTAATTATTTACAAAAAATGACCAACAAAACATTGGGAGCATATATTATGCTCCTACCATTTATCATACTGCAAATAAGTCACAGGAAAAACTAAACTATTAGTTATTATTAAACTGCAAACGTGAAGAAACGTGCAGCATGTCAGAAACGAAACTTAAAACAGTGGATGGGTGGTGGATTGGACCCGGTGTTACACCATACTCTGTGACTTGCAACAGTGCAACACCGCCCCCTACGGTCATATGGTGGTCACATAATATGACGTCACTACGGATACTCGACATTACATTTTTAACCTCGATAGAGGTCCTAGCAATCGATGTGTAGATTACTCGAGTACTCTGTTAATGCCCTATAAACTGCATGTGTGTGTACCGCAAACCCATCCACACAGACCAATATTTGCAGTTTGACTCCCATCACCATTTGGAGCACAAGTTGGGAGTCATCAGGACTCTGTACCACAGAGCAGACAGTGTCCCCGCTAACTCAGGAGCAGTTAGTTTTATATATATATATATATATATATATATATATATATATATATATATATAAATTGATCCAAGAGTGTGTTCCAATTACAGGGGAGTCACGCTCTTAAGCCTCCCTAGTAAGGCCTATTCAGGGGTTCTGGAGAGGAGGATCCATCGGATAGTCAAACCTCAGATTCAGGAGGAGCAATGTGGTTTTCATCCTAGTCGTGGAACACTGGACCAGCTCTACACCCTCAGCAGGGTCCTGTAAGGTGCGTGGGAGTTTGCCCAACCAGTCTACATGTGCTTTGTGGACTTGGAGAAGGCGTTTGACCGCATCCCTTGGGGAACCCTGTGGGGTATACTCTGGGAGTATGGGGTACCGGGCCCTTTGATACAGGCTGCTAGGTCCCTGAATGACCGGTGTTGGCGCTTGGTCTGCATTGCTGGTAGTAAGTCGGGCTCATTCCCAGTGAGAGTTGGACTTCACCAAGTTTGCCCTTTGTCACCGATTCTGTTCATAACTTTTATGGACAGAATTTCTAGGCGCAGCCAAGGTGTTGAGGGGACCCATTGTGGTGGCCTTAGGATCACTTCTCTGTTTTTGCAGATGATGTGGCCTTATTGGCTTCATCAAGTCGTGATCTACAGCTTTTGCTGGAGCGGTTTGCAGCGGAGTGTGACGCGGCCGGGATGAGGATCAGTTCCTCCAAATCCTAGGCTGTGGTCTTGAGCCGGAAAAAGGTAGAGTACCCTCTCCAGGTCAGGGAGGAGGTCCTGCCCCAAGTGGAGGAGTTTAAGTATCTTGGGGTCTTGTTCACGAATGAAGGAAAAATGGAGCAGAAGATCGATAGGCGGATAGGTGCGGCATCGGCAGTGAAGCGGGCGCTGTACCAGTCTGTCGTGGTGAAGAGAAAGCTGAGTCAAAAGGCGAAGCTCTCAATTTACTGTCCATCTATGTTCCTACCCTCATCTATGGTCATGAGCTTTGGGTTGTGACCAAAAGAATGAGATCATGGATACAAGCGGCTGAAATGAGTTTTCTCCGCAGAGTGTCTGGGCTCTCCCTTAGAGACAGGGTGAGAAGCTCTATCATCCGGGAGGGACTCAGAGTAGAGTCGCTGCTTCTCCACATCGAGAGGAGCCAGTTGAGGTGGCTCGGGCATCTGGTTAGGATGCCTCCTGGATAGGATTGTGCGATATAAATGGTATACGGTAGAAACAATAGAAATTTAGCCTACGATAGAGATCTGTCTTCTACCGGCTAACCGCAGTAATGCTGTGTCTGAAGTAAAATCAGTTGTCAGTTTAATCGTTACCTTTTTTTTTAGTTGAAAACTGTGCATAAGTAGTGTTCAAGTGTAAAATTAGAGCTGTCAGATTTAATCGTTACTTTTTTTGAGCTGAAAACTGAGCAAGTGGCGTTAAAGTATTTTCTTCGATAGCTAAGTAGCGAAGCTACAAGCTAACTACGGCCGGCTTGTCGTAGTGTTGCCGTATTCTGATGCATGCTCAAAACGCTGTGTTCCGTCAAAAGTTTTTTTTTCCCCATCGAAAGTTAAAGTAAGCATTGGTCAGCTTTAGAAACCTGCTCTCTGATCTGTGAAAAGAACGCTGTGCTGTGTGATTTTTACTGCGAGACCCTCTGGTCAAAGCCACAGACTCATTTTGTGTCAGCTCCATTAAAGCGGAAGGAGTCGCCCACTAGAGGGTTGGAGGGTGAAGTGTTTCAGTGTAAAATGCTGCTCTGTTGCTGTTCATTTATTAAGTGAGAGGACTGGAAACTGTTAAGAGTTAACTACATATTGTTTTGTTTAAAACATATGGCTAAAACTACATTTGATATATTTTGCACTGTTTTGCACTAAAGAAGCTTAATACTTGATTTGTTTATTATTTAAAAACTCTCTGGACCTAGTAGTGGAATTTTCTTAATTCAAAACATATGATGGCAAAAGGACATCCTATGCTTTTTTAAAAATTCCTATTAAGTTTTATACCAAAAAACATATCACGATATATATCGTTATCACCACCCTTCACAATACATATCACAATATGAATTTTATGCCATATCGCACATTCCTACTCCTGGACGCCTCCCTGGTGAGGTGTTCCGAGCACGTCACACCGGGAGGAGATGCAGAGGAAGACCCAGGACACGCTGGAGGGACTATGTTTCTCGGCTGGCCTGGGAACACCTTGGGATTCCCCCGGAGGAGTTGGCCCAAGTGGCTGAGGAGAGGGAAGTCTGGGCCTCCCTACTTAGTCTGCTACCCTCGCGACCCGACCCCGGATAAGCAGAAGAAAATGGATGCATGAATGGGTCTTTGTGAGTTTTTATAAATTTAATGATACATCTATCGTCTATCAATGATAGATGTATCATGGCATCTATGCCAAGCTGTCCCTGGGCCACTCATCTGGCTTTGTGGCCATCAGAAGATTTTTAAACAGATTATGAGAACATCACATAAAAAACAGGCAATTTAATGTCAGATTATAGAGCAGTTTATCTCTAAAATTAGCCTTTTTACCAAGATTATCTTCAGCTGCCATCTCACAGACCACTTTCTGCTCATGAACACATTGCAGGTCTCGGCTATGGGGGCGTCCAAGAGTAAGTCCAAGGATGTCGGCCAGCGGACCCGCAGCCTTGATGGAAACCCTGGCCCAGGAGGAGGTTCAAGCAGTCAGCACCACAACTCTGCTCAACAGTCCTTGTCACCCAACCGTAGCCCCACTGTGGACAGCGGTCTCAACAGCAATAAGTCGATGAACAAAACTCCAGAACTGGCCCTGTTTGGAGGCGCAGACAATAATAGTTACAGTTCTACTAACAGAGTCACTCAAGCAGGTGAGGGGGTCGACTTTTTAAAGGTTTAAGCACCTCGTTCTGTTCATTCTCAGGACTGTAGCTGTTATAGTTGTATGTGCTGAAGTTGTCTGACTATAGTCAAATGTTTTCTTACATTACAGTGGGTGTGATGACATTTGTGGCCTTGTATAACTACGAGGCTCGAACAAACTCGGATCTGTCTTTCAGGAAGGGCGAACACCTCCAGATAGTAAACAATACGTAAGAAAAATGCTTAAAAAACACTCAATACCTCTTATTTTTACCTGTATTTGCTTTTTCTTAAAGCAAAGAAGTGTACAGTATACACTCTGCACCGTACTGTAAAATATTTTTTTACCTAGTTGTCATCTTATCTGTTTTAAACTCCTAAGGAATCCTGTTTTTCTTTGAGCAGAGCTAGTTTTAGTCAAGTTACAAACAACTTTTTTGGATTTGGGTGTTTGAGGGTCATGCTTGTTTACAGCATGCGTTTTGTAAAAAGAGAAGCAGTGAACCATATATACGGTGCACAGTGCTGACCTACAAGGCAGAACAATAAATGATTACTACACGTGGTTCCTCAGATTAAAACGACTACCAGTAGATGTTATGGGGCTGAATACACCCAGAATCCATGAAACTTCTCCAAGATAAACAGTTTGTCAACTAAAGCTAGGTGTCAGACATATGTGTTGTACGTTTCTTATTGGGCGTATTTAAATATCCCATTGTAAAGTAAGCACAGTGAACCCACAGGCTTTTGTTATCGGAAAACTGTGTCTTCTGTACGTCTTTCTCTCAGGACTAATTATTGTACATCCATTGCATAAGAGTTTATTTAAATACACAACACTATTACTTGTTCTTTCATGTGTTCCTCTGCAGCGGCTATGAACTTGTATTCTCTAAGGTCTGTACTCTTTTTAACCCTCTTCTTTTTTTACCCTGTCTTTTTCATGTTTCTTTTGTCATCAAACCATTATTTTTTTATGTAGGAGGAAAGTGAACTGCAGGTTTGTGAAGCTTTTTTCCCCTCACTTGTTTGAAAATACCCTAACCCTAGTAGTAGTAACCTTATATTGTATAATACCACTTCATCACAAAACTCATTCCATAAATTCTTGTTGCAGTATTCAGCAATAGTAGAGGCAAAGCCTCACAGCACTACCATCACAAACCATCTAAAGGCAGCGAGTGCAAACATGTTATTTATCTTTAAATTCTGATTGTGATTGGAGTGTTGCAAAGCTCCAGCAGCACCATTACTGATGAAGTGTAGAGTACACATGCCATCACTACCCTTTTGTTCTATCCTCATGAATGCATGTTTGTGTGATGACATATTTATTTCACCAGTAAAGCAATTGGCTTAAATTTATCAAACTTCTCCATGGGCCAAGGCCTCAGTCATGCTTGAATCTAACTGTTTTAGTGATTTCTAAAAGTAAAACAGATAGCTCTGCCACTTGAGTCCTACTTTGAGACTTGACAACCAGTGCTAAACATCATCTTTGTGTTTTGAATGAGCCTAGCTAAAGCTAAGTGTCATCTTTTTATCTGTGCAGAGAAGGGGACTGGTGGCTGGCGCGCTCCCTGACCACTGGAGAGACTGGTTATATCCCCAGCAATTTTGTGGCTCCAGCTGACTCCATCCAGGCAGAAGAGTAAACCCCTTCATTTATTTTTTTTCCTTTTCGCTTCATCTATTTGATCTTTTCCTTGCTAAGCGCATGAAAAAAGCAGCCAAACAAAGTTGGGCTTCTTCTTTTTCGTGCGTGTTTTAAGTTTTGAATGGGAAAGCAGAAAAGGCTGACACTTTTGGAAGTCACTACTTCACTGCCTGTTGTAAGAAGAAGGGGAGAAGATTTACACCTTACAGTTAAAGCCCATCTGGTCAATTATCTTATTATAAATTGTAAAAATAACCGTACTGATGTCTTAAGAAGTTGCAATAAGCAGCCAGTTGAACTCTTCAAAAGAAAAGAAAATGACTACAATTGCATTTTTAATAAAAAAATAAATAAATATGTTGACTCCCCATCAAGTTCATTTGAACTTAAAAAATAAATGTATGAAAAAAATACAACTTGGCATGAATTGATTTATTAGCTAAGCATGGACCAGCAAGTTAGCTTAGCATAAATCATCTGTTAGCCTAGCATAGACTGGCAAGTTCACTTAGCATGGTCTGCATTATTAGTTTTGCACAGAGTGCCTCAGTCGACCTTCCTACAGTTACTAATTGGCATGTGTAAAGTTGGGCACCATATGCTCAAATAAGATCATTGCTATTTCCAAATGGAGTTCAACTCTTTTGTTTTCGTCCTTTGCACCTGATTTTTATTGATTTTTCTATACAAATGTATTTATAAATTATTTTATTGGTATTTTAGATTGTAATAGCAAAGTGCAATGTTGCCGGGTGTCAGCATGACTGCAGAGCACAGCTGACACATAGATGGATATGGACAGTTTAGACTAAGTGTTTTTCAACAAACTGGAAGGTCACAGTGATACATGAGGCTATCTAGACCACAAAGCATTTCAAAATATACTGCCTTTGAACGTAGGCATTAGTTGCTGTAAAAGTGTCAATGTCTTAAGGTAGACGGGCTGTTTAGCCCAGTGTTATCCCAGTTTATGTAAAGACCAGATATCTTAGCATGGACTGGCTGCTCCACTAGTTTACTCCTTATAGGTTGTAATTTACTCCAGTGGAATCTGCTTGGCAGCAACTAATGTTTAGCCCAGTAGTTTATGCAATTCACAGGTGTGTGTGTTTTCTTCTTCTTTTTTAGATGATGATTGTTTTAGATCAAGCTAAGTGGCTGTAAAGCATTTACTGATTTTGCATGCTGACCGGCTTGCTTAATGCCCACAAGCTAACTGTAACAACCTTATTTCTCACTTTTGCCTCCTGCTTCACCGGTGATCTCAGTCTGACTTTAGATCCCAGGTAAGCAGCTGTTGCACTGTTTTCCAAGTGGGAAGTGAGGCTTCTCACTTGACTTTCATTGCATTTCAGGGAGATTTAACAAATAGAAGTTCAGAGATAATTGCACTTAGTCAGAATCCTATTTAGGTATCTGCTCCCATGCTCTATCTAAAGGGAAGGCCATTGTTTACAACGTTAAAAACTCTTGGCCAAGCTGTTGAGCCATTTTGGCTTCTTTGAACCCATGCACATATTTTCTCATCACAAATCTGTGCCTCTGTGTCCATTTTTCTTTTTCCTTTGACTATACTAGGTGGTACTTTGGCAAAATCACACGTCGTGATTCTGAAAGGATGCTGCTTCATTTGGAAAACAAGAGAGGGACTTTCCTGGTGAGAGAAAGTGAAACATCCAAAGGTAGGAGTGTGAGCCCATCATTCATTGTAATTTAGCTTGCTTTTAACATTTTGAGATGTACCTTCAGGTTTACAAATGAATTTAAGACAATTTTTACAAAATCTTTCTGTAAGGTTCTTGATGTTGTTTACTCTGACTTGTATGAGACTGTAGGCCATGTAAACAATATGACCTACTTACTGTTCAGCAGGACTTTTCATTATTGTAATTCCTTTTATTTATTTACTTATTACTTTATTTTTATTATTTGATTAACATTAATCCCCTGAACTCAAATTGATTTTTGTGAATGTGATGGCCTTCCACTGACCAATATACTTTGACATTCATAGCTCTTATATAGCAATTAATATTTTAAATTAAATTAGAGGTCGTCCACAATTGAGTGATCTGACTGTGCAAAAGTTCATGATTTTAACCTTATGTCCACACAGAAATGGCCTAATAGGGGCTCCGAAGTTATTGTTTTTATAATGGAGCCCAGCACGAGAAAATTTTGTTTTTGAATACACACACACATTAGTTTTACATTTTTCAATTTTTATGCTCATGGTCTATGTCTGATTTTCTGTATTCAGAAACAACAACTTAAAAATTGTTGTAAAAAATTTGCTTTTCCTTGCAGACAACAACCCAGACTGCTTTTAGCACCAAAAGTTTAGACCAAATTCAAAGATCCAATTCTATTAATCCTGTTAAAGAATGAGATTGTCAGTATCACAAAACCTAAATTTTAACAGCGATTGTACAGGTTCTTGTCCCTATGAACTTCTAAAAACTTTATTTGTTTTTTTTTCAGCTGATAATTTTGTAGTTATGACACCAGCAAATCAAAACAACTTGCACAGTTGAAAAAAATAGGCGTCATTACGTAGTTGATATAAAGATATACAGAAGTGAACAAATTTGTCTGTATCCTTTTGTTAAAGAAAAACCTGCAACTGTCACAGAAATAGCACAAAATGAATACAAGTAATAAAAATAAATTAAATACTAAAAATCAACTATTGAAATTAAGACATTGCTTTTGAATTTTGGTTCAACATAATTATTTTAAAAACCTAATGAAATTGGCCTTGACAAAGAAGATGGTACTCTTAGAAAAGACTGAAACTAATAGTTATTATATAAGTAATATATAAAATATTTAATTATTATATAATATCTCATAGAGACATGTTAAACTGAGGCGCGTCCTGGAATCAGCATCACAGCTATCTTCAGTCTGTCAGTCTGCCTGTTTGAAGGCTGAAATGTACAAACCGGATTCCAAAACAGTTGGGACACTAAACAATTGTGAATAAAAACCGAATGCAATGATGTGGAGGTGTCAACATCTAATATTTTATTCAGAATAGAACACAAATCACAGATCAAAAGTTTAAACTGAGAGAATGTATCATTTTAAGGGAAAAATCTGTTGTTTCCAAATTTCATGGCGTCAACAAATCCCAAAAAAGTTGGGACGAGTCCATTTTTACCACTGTGTGGCATCCCCCCTTCTTCTTACAACACTCAACAGACGTCTGGGGACAGAGGAGACCAGTTTCTCCAGTTTAGAAACAGGAATGCTCTCCCATTCATGTCTAATACAGGCCTCTAACTATTCAATCGTCTTGGGCCTTCTTTGTCGCACCTTCCTCTTTATGATGCGCCAAATGTTCTCTATAGGTGAAAGATCTTGACTGCAGGCTGGCCATTTCAGTACCCGGATCCTTCTCCTACGTAGCCATGATGTTGTGATTGCTGCAGAATGTGGTCTGGCATTATTGTGTTGAAAAATGCAGGGTCTTCCCTGAAAGAGATGACGTCTAGATGGGAGCATATGTTGTTCTAGAACCTGAACATAGTTCTCTGCATTAATGGTGCCTTTCCAGACATGCAAGCTGCACATGCCACAAGCGCTCATGCAACCCCATACCATCAGTGATGCAGGCTTCTGAACGGAGCGTTGAGAACAACTTGGGCTATCCTTGTCCTCTCTGGTCCGGATGACATGGCGTCCCAGTGTTCCATAAAGAACTTGAAATCGTGACTCATCTGAACACAGAACAGTCTTCCATTTTGCCACACTCCATTTTAAATGACCCCTGGCCCAGTGCAAACGTCTGAGCTTGTGGAGCTTGCTTAGAAATGGCTTCCTCTTTGCACTGTAGAGTTTCAGCTGGCAACGGCGGACGTCACGGTGGATTGTGTTCACTGACAATGCTTTCTGGAAGTATTCCTGAGCCCATTCTGTTATTTCCTTGACAGTGGCATTCCTGTTTGAGGTGCAGTGACGTTTAAGGGCCCGGAGATCACGAGCATCCAGTAGAGTTTTACAGCCTTGACCCTTACACACAGCGATTGTTCCAGATTCTCTGAATCTTTTGATGATGTTATGCACGGTTGATGATGATAACTTAAAAGTCTTTGCCATTTTATGCTGGGTAACACCATTCTGGTATTGCTGCACTATCTTTCTGTGCAACAATGGTGGAATTGGTGATCCTCTTACCATCTTGGCTTCTGAGAGGCACTGACACTCTGAGAAGCTCTTTTTATACCCAATCATGTTGTCAATAGACCTAATTAGTGTTAATTGGTCTTCCAGCTGTTCGTTATATGCTCAATTTTCTTTTTCCAGCCACTTATTGCTACTTGTCCCAACTTTTTTGGGATTTGTTGACACTGTGAAATTTTAATCAACATATTTTTCCTTTAAAATGTTACATTTACTCAGATTAAACTTTTGATCTGTCATCTATTTTATACTACGAATAAAATATTGACATTTGCCATCTCCACATCATTGCATTCAGTTTTTATTCACAATTTTTTTAGTATCCCAACTTTTTTGGAATCCGGTTTGTAGTCACTGTGCTGTTTGGGATCATGGTGTGTAACACACTGAACATGGAGCACAGAAAGCTGAGGACAGAGTGTCTCAGGAGCAAAATGACAGAGCAGCACGATGAAGGTAAAGACTTTAAGATCATCTCCGAGCAGCTTGATGATCCTCTGACTACAGCTGCTCAGATTATTGAGAAGGTCAAGGTCCACAGGACTGGAGACAACCTCCCTGGACGTGGCTATAAGAGGAAGATTGAGGACAAACAAAGAGACTGATAATATGAAAAGTAGCCAAAGAACAACTTCCATAAAGATTAGAAGTGAACTTCAAGGTCAAGATACATCACTGTCCAATCATACCATCAGTCCCTGTTTGAGTGAAACAAGAGCCGAAGAAGAGAATCGAGGAACATACTACTTTTGAAATCAATTCATAAAAAGCAAGACTGGAATTTATCATGATGCACATTGACAAGCCCCAAAAGCTTCTGGGAGTCCTTTGGAGAAATTAAACAAAACTGGAGCTTTGTCCCATCAGCTCTGTGGGTCAAAGAAATGATCACACGGAGGAGGCCTGGTTCTGCTCTGGGGCTGCTTTGCTGCACCTGACACAAATGAGAAGAACGAGCTATGATCATCTTCTGATGAGAAATCACACAGTCTGACAGATATGTGGCTAAAATCTGAGGTTGAAGTAGCTAAAGAACTTTCATAATTGCAACACTTGCTGTAAGCACAACAGATCGTACAATATTACGATGAGTAACTTTAATTTTGAAGCTTGACTAAAACAGTTAAATTTCAATTCACTTTTCTTTTAAGTTATAAACACATTTATTCTAGAAAGCATTACAGTATATGACTTTAAGAATAGCTTAAGACTTTTGCACAGTACAACTGTCAGAAATACTTGATCATTTTGCAAAATGACTTCATAGTTTCTGTTCCACTGCCTGGAAACTTTGCCCACTCTTTGTAGCAGCTGGCGGTTTGTATTTGCATGCTTGCTTGTCTGTTAGCAAAATATCTCGTGAACTGCAGGATCAGTTACCATTTGTCTGATTCAGGATATTCATGTTAAACTGACCGTAGCAAAAAGAAAAAGCTTTAATTCTAGTTATTTTTACAGAGACTGAACTCAGATGTATTCTAGTAGAAGCTGAGAGTCATCCCCAACGTACACGCTGAACACTTTGCAGGTGACGTGCAGGAAGAATGATCATGTTTTTATGGTTTTCCTACATGAATTATGATAATAAGTCATTCTCATTAGTTATAACTTTAGGACGTCATTGAGTCACAATAATTAAAACTAGTCACCGGTTAATGACTTTACTGTTATTTCCACTTTTTTTAAACAATATATTTATTGGATTTTTTCATATATGAAATATCGAGAACATACATTCAAACAAACATTGCACACTCCCCACCCACAATTAACACTCGGGGTATAAATTTAAAATAAAATAAAGCTAGAGAAAGAGAGAAAAAAGTACAAATGCATAAAATTAAATACATGTATAAATATACAAATAAATAAGATAAAGTTTCAATCATCAAACTAATGCCTAGATAAAATATCACTCGTATATAAATATTAGTTATATGAGTTACTATTAATTTTATTGAGTGCTGCGTTTTTATTTTGTTTCATTCATTCATTTCAGTTTGTTTACTTTTCACAAATTTCATCAAGTTTTAATTTACTTTTAATTATAAGATTGTTTTTAGTTTAAATCTCTGGCAGAAAAGGCCATGGGTGATATGCATTCCTTAAATGAGTGGTATGTCTTTGTTATTATAAAAAGTTTTGTTTCATTTTATTTATTTATTACAGATATACTGTTCTTTGTTTTGTTTTTTCTTATCTTTCCAGCACATAGATAAACACATAACTTGTAGCTTGTTGTCTTTTCCAAGGACATTAAAGCTTTTGGACTATCATTAAACTTCTGTTTGGCAGATTGTGCCACAGCCATCCAGGTGACTGGAAAGAGAGGGAGGAAGCAGACTGGTAACAGGGTTGGTGAGAGAAATCAGAATTGGGTCAGTGTGGAGCTAAAGCTAAGGACTGTACAACCGCAGGCCACATCATCCTGTTCAAACACAGAGGAGGAGGAAGTGGCCTTGGGCTGCTGTTTTACCTTACACATCACTAATGCTCCCTCTGCTGGTGAGATGGGAACAATGCTTTAAAAAATTCAATGATTACTCAAATCTGTGTCTTCTTACCCCCACCAGGTGCCTACTGTCTGTCTATGTTGGACTACGACAACGTTAAGGGGCTGACCATAAAACACTACAAGATCAGGAAGCTGGACAGTGGGGGCTTCTACATCACCTCCCGGACACAGTTCAGCTCCCTGCAGCAGCTCGTCAATCATTACTGCAGTGAGTCCACTCCTCCTCTCACACTCAGTTACTTATCAGTCCAGTTGCTCATTCCCTTTGTTTCCTTCTCCCTGATAACATGTTTACCCCCCCACCATAACTTGCTGACTTCCTTCCTCAGAGCATGCTGATGGACTGTGTCACGTTCTGACGGACGTTTGTCCCTTACCGAGTCCTCAGACTCAGGGCTTGGCCAAGGACGCCTGGGAGATCCCCAGAGAGTCCCTTCGGCTTGACGTAAAGCTCGGGCAGGGTTGCTTCGGAGAGGTCTGGATGGGTAGGTTCACTTTTATAAATGGACTGTACTTGTATAGCTCCTTCTATCTTGCTGATCGTGCGGCTCGTCCATCAATCAGCCAATTGTGTGACATGTACAACCTTATTTTGAAAAACCGCGATAGAGCAAGTCTGCGATAAACGAACCGCGAAGTAGCGAGGGACTACTGTATATATTATTGTATTTAGCCTTATCCCTCCTAATTATTGACATTTTATTTAGGAAGTTTTCCAGTTTTTTATGCAGTGTCCTGCTTTGATTGAAAATAAGTTCCAGGTTCAACAGGCAAAAACAAAACAGGTTTTTGTTGTTTTAGGAACGTGGAACGGTACGACTCGGGTGGCAATCAAAACCTTGAAGCCCGGCACCATGTCGCCAGAGGCCTTCCTGGAAGAAGCTCAGGTCATGAAGAAACTGAGACATGAGAAGCTGGTCCAGCTCTATGCCGTGGTGTCTGAGGAGCCCATCTACATTGTGACAGAGTACATGAGCAAAGGTAGGTGGGAAAATTCTCATTTGTTCAGAAGCAGCTGCATAACTTAAATAGTTTTTGAGCAAATCAGAGGATTAATTCAGCCTTTATTCCAGACCGAGTCAATTAGTCCTACTTGTTGTGTTCTTTGCTTTGTTTCCATGATATAATGAGCTCCATCACTCACATTAACCTGCAGCATGTGTCTTTGCCAACAGGCAGCTTATTGGATTTTCTGAAAGGAAACTTGGGAAATATCCTGCGCCTCCCTCAGCTGGTGGATATGGCCTCACAGGTCAGCTCAGACAACTTACCGTCTCTACCTACAGCTTTTATGCTCTTTGTTTGACTTGTTAAAAAAAGAAGATGATGATAATAATAAAATAACTTCGTCCTCAGATTGCTTCAGGGATGGCCTACGTGGAGAGGATGAACTACGTGCACAGAGACCTGCGAGCTGCAAACATTCTCGTGGGAGAAAACCTGATTTGTAAAGTTGCTGATTTTGGTCTGGCTCGCCTCATCGAAGACAATGAATATACTGCTAGGCAAGGTAACAAGAGGCTAATTACATCTGTGGGGTTTCTACACTTTGTTGCTTTTTGTAGAATAGTCTGGACATTCTTTAAACTTACTCTAGATGTTATTGAAGAAGTCAAGTATCGTTTTGTAAAGACGAAATTACAGTTTTAATAATCCTCATACCTGGTGCCTGTTGCTGCTCGCTAGAAGCTGTTCTGTGAATTTGTAAAATTGTTCATTTTATTTTTTCATCTCAGTTTTTGCTACACAATTTTCCAAGTATTTCACCAGCACGTTGACTTCCACCCATGTTCCTTGTGGTCTCCTGGGGGAGGCGGAGGTCTCTGCACAACTCCAGAGTTTGGTTTGTGTTACTGGTAGGAAACCAGATGTTTTCAGGTTAAACTTCACCCCAGCTTCCCTTTGTCAGGGATTTTGTTCAGAACCTTTAAGGACAACCTTTTTAGGTTTAGTATTTTCATTTCTAACTCTGTGTGAGTGGAGACGTTTGAGCCAAAAGTTGAAACACTTGATTTACAGGTTAACCTTAATTCTTCATCCCAGGCCTCTCGTATGGTCATGACATCATGAGCTTTCTTTCTTGTCTAAGTGATGAGATCAGCAGCATGAGTTATTGTCAGAGATTTGGAGTAGACCCGTTGGTCCTCAGCGTTCAGTGGAGCCAGCTGGGTCGGGTCGACCATCTGGTAGAAATGCTGCACTTGTTGAAGGCTAGCTGGTAACTCAGTGAGAAAGTTGAGGAAAAATAGACAATTTTCCAGTTGAGTCTAACTGAAATCTGTTTATTATCTGTAAATTCTCTGCACTTGTTATTTTATGCCCACCCCTGTCCACATTGTGTCCACCTTGACCCACTTTAGCAGCCATTTCCACTACACTTAGAAAGGAAAAGGGGCAGATTAAGAGCAGGGACTTTTAAATGTATTTTTTATTAAATGTTGTCAGTGCGACTGGACCAGGAGAACGTGAGCTCTGGCCTTGGATGTTTTCTGTCAAAGGAGAGCTTCCATGCACCTGTTAGAATAAGCGTCTCTAGCTCTTGCAGCAATGTTCAAAATTCATCTGACACGGTGGATCGGTTGGTAGAGCTGTCACCTCTCAGTGAGCAGGTTACTGGATCAAATCCCAGCTGGGGGTCTTTCTGGGTGGAGTTTGCATGTTCTCTCCGTGCTGCGTGGGTTTTCTCCGGGTACTCCGGTTTCCTCCCACAGACCAAAAACATGCATGTTAGGCTGATTGGTAACTCTAAATTGTCTCTAGGTGAGACAGTGAATGGTTGTTTGTCTCATTTGTCTCTATGTGTCCCTGTGATGGACTGGAGACCTGTCCAGGGTGTCCCCCCACCTCTCACACAGTGACTGCTGGATATGGGCACCAGCGACCCCCGCGACCTGGAAAGGAAGAAGCGTGTAGAGATAATGGATGGATGTTCAACATTAAATAAGCCATTTGGACTTTTTGGAGACTGCCTCATGAATGCTGTTCAGCAACTAGCTGCCATCAGTCGCAGCTTGGTGGGATACTGGCTTTAAGCCTTCAGGCAGACGACTGGTTTGGAAAAACCTCCTGGATGAGCTGGAAGAGGTAGCAGAGGAAGAGGATGGTCTGAGGACCCACACTGCTGCTCTCACAGCCCAACCTGGACATGGGTCAGAACAAATATGAATAAATAGAGGGACAGACATTTATTTTGTTTAGATCTTGCATCTTCTTCTTCTTCTTTCGGCTGCTCCCTTCAGAGGTCGCCACAGCGATTTAACTTGCACGAAGACTCGGCAATTGTTTCTACGCCAGATGTCTTTCCTGACGCAACCACAGACACCGAGCTACCACAGCCTCTGTGTGGAGCAGAGAGCTGCTATCTAGGACGCCCAGAGGAGCAGATGGTGGGGGTTAAGGACCTTGCTCAAGGACCCAGAGCGGGGCAAATGAGGGTGGAGACAGGTGTGGGTGCTTCACCTTTCCCACCCACATTTTGATGTTGTCGGTACGGGAGTTGAGCCGCGACCTTCAAATCATAGGCCCACCTTCTCTAACCTCTGCATCACCACAGTTTAGATCTTTCGTACTTGACATATAAATTACAAAAGTGTTATGGAGTGTCATTTAAATATTTTTTACCAGATTTATGAAGCTGTGTGTAACTTTAACTTGAAGTCTGCTCAGCCAGATTACAGTTTCAGATTGCCTGGAACCGACTTCTGACTGAGAGCAATGTTAATTATCTGTGGTCACATTGAAAGCCATTGTTTGTGCAAAGTGATAAGATGTTTGCTTTTCAAAGTTCTGCAGCACTTCAACTGCACGGCTGTTTTACTGGCCAGAATATATTTTAACTAACTTCATGAGAACAGTAATTCCTCAAACTTTTCAGTGCAGCCAGAAAATCCTCCGAGAATTTCTAGGATTCTCCTCAAGCCCAGAAAATCCTTGTGATAATTTTATCGTGTTGATAAATCTGTGTCCTTGCAGGAGCCAAGTTTCCCATCAAGTGGACGGCTCCTGAGGCTGCACTTTACGGCCGCTTCACCATCAAATCTGACGTGTGGTCATTTGGGATCCTGCTGACTGAACTGGCCACTAAAGGCCGAGTGCCATACCCAGGTACGGGCCTTTCTCTCAGACTTACACTCCAACACCACCTCTTGTTGAATTTACTCACAGTGGCCCCTGAGCATCTGCCAATATCATACAATAAACATTTACTGCCCACAGCTAAAGGTGAAAGCGTGATAAGATTTTGCCTGTGTTTGTGTGCATGTTTGTCATATTTGCAAAATATATCATCTCATGAACCACTGACTAATTTTAATGAAACTCTTACAAAATGATTGGCATTTCTGTACATCTACGACCCAATTCAAGATGGTTGCTAAAGCTAATCAGCATTAGCCATGTCAAAAATTGTTAAATCTTAGTCAGATTTACTGATATTGAGCTTAAGTTTGGTGTTTTATTACTTTTTTCTCTTCAACACTTTAAGCACTGACAGATCTTGTGACATCTCACATGGGATTGCACCTAATGTTATTTTAACTGTTTAAAATGGCTACATTTCCATCATTTGTCATCATAAGGTGATCCTAGTTTCAAACTCTGGCATAATGAGTTGTGTGTGATATGCATTCCTTGAAGGCCTTTATTATAATAAGGTGTTTTATGTAGAAATCTGAGTTGTGTTGTTTGGGTCTGCCAGGTATGGTGAACCGGGAGGTGTTGGATCAGGTGGAGCGGGGCTACAGGATGCCGTGTCCTGCCGAGTGTCCTGGGTCCCTCCATGAGCTTATGCTAACCTGCTGGAGGAAAGAGCCAGAGGAGAGGCCCACCTTTGAGTACCTGCAGGGTTTCTTGGAGGATTACTTCACCTCCACGGAGCCTCAGTACCAGCCCGGAGAGATCCTGTAACTGGGCCGTTTGTTCACTCATACGGATATGCAAAATGGACCAAAGACGTCTGCTTTAGAGAGCATGGACACGAATAAATTGAGATGCGTTGTCTGAGTAGTGAGGACGTCTGACGTACGTCTGGGTACAATCAGTAACTTGAACATGAAAGAAGTGTCATTTTATTTTTAAGTCATTGTCATTTTCTCCTGCCTGCGTTGTTCTGGGGTCTAAAAGCATGTTTGTACGTCCTGTTAATCTTCTTTGATGTCTATGAAACTTTAGCAGTGAAATCAACACCAGAATAGCAAACAGGTCTGACAACAGTTTTTGTGTTTGCAAAGTGTTGCTAAACTAGGCTCTATTTTCATTATGCCTACTTTTTATTTTTAATTTTTACAGCTCTTGTAATTTGCTAGCATAAACACAAAAAGTGGGAGGAAAAAACTAAAAGTGTCATGAAAGTCTTGCGGAGGAGCGTCAGTCCGACCCAGGAAGTCCTGCTGATTGACGGCACTACCAGAGGTCTGTTGTACCGCACTCCTTGAGGCTCCACACTGAAGCACAGACTCAGATTGTCTTCCGTTTCTTGAATTCATTTTTATTTGATGTTACCAGTTTTTTCTAAGTACACACCTGGGTCATCTGGAAACTTTTCATGCCTACCAACAACAGTGAAACAAACTGGTTTCTGACCAACACACAGCTCCACATAAAAGACAAGACTGAGTTCATCTCTGTGACTTTTCAAACAGAAGGCTACTAATCACTAAGGGTCAGCTCAGGATGGAGACAACAAAAATTCTGCTGCAAGGATTTTTGTGCCAGTAAAAATCTATTTTGTACTTTTTCCACTGTGCTAACTTTTATTTGATGTTTTTCTTAAAAACAACCTCGAGTCAAAAACAAGTGGCCGAGTAGATTTTTCTGAAAGGGTAATCCACTGTGTAGATCTCCTTCAGCTGTGTAGAGCTCCTTCGGCTGTGTAGAGCTCCTTCAGCTGTGGAGAGCTACCACTAGTCCTTCAGCTGATTTGTTTTGAAGCAGTCGGTCTCCTTTTAGTTTAATCCCTTTTAATCAGTAGTGGTATTCCTTTAATTAGTGCACCTTTGAGCACAATCTTACACTGGAGATGTTCTTAGTGATGACAAGTGAGTGTCATTGCTCTCTCTAGCCTGTAGGGGGCAGACTGCAAAGCATGTATAGAAACTAAATTGGCATTTTTACTTGTACATAACTCTGATGCTATTAGTTTGTATATATCAACTTCCTTATTTATTCATTTTAAATTAACCCAATTGTTTTTTAGCACATTTGTGTAAACTTGTTTATGGTACTGTTCTGGGTTAAATAACATTGATGACCTTTATATAATTATTTAGAGAAATGCTTCCCTTTATGTTGATGTGCGAGCAAAGTTCTCTGAAACTGAACTGTAATTATGATTTGAGGAGCTCAGATTGGGATGTAACGGTTGTGTTTTGCCCACACTGAGACGCACCCAGCAGTCTGTACCACAGATGTTTGCATTTTGGTTCTTTTGGTGTTGATATCGAGGTTGAACCTGAGCAGGTGACTCAGTTTACTGACGGTCTGTGCCGCCACCCTCTGCTTCTGCTTCCACTCCTTCAGAGGTGTGTGTGGCGTCTCCGACCTGATCCACATTTATTAACGTTTGTAGCAACAGATTCAAATGGCAGAAGCGTAATACCTGCAGTGTCCAATGATTGGTGAAAGGTGTGGCTGACGCAAAGTCCCACTGTCAAACGCTGAGGCTTATTTCAGTTTTCATTAAATGTTTAGAAGATACAGTTAGACCTCAGTTCACACAACAGGCCAGAAAGCTCGTGTGCACCCTGCCTTTTAAAACCATGGATGTTTCCTGTGGGATTCTGTTTTTCCTGACTATGCAGATATTTTTACAATCTGTCACATCCTTATATAAATATATATACACTCTTTTTCTACCATATCCAGATGGTATTTTTCACTCTACATTTTGTGAAACTCTGCTGAATCTTGTTTGAACTAAAAAAAAAAGAAAAAAAAAAAGGAGTACGGGTACATTTTAATAAATTTGTACATTGGCAGCTGTCTCCTGTCATGTTTGTTTGAACAAAGTTTAATTCAATAAGATCCTACGGATGAACTGAACGTGGCTCTTTGGAAATGTTTCTGTTCATGACTTGTGTCAGGACACAAAACAACAGACAATACAAGTTTAGTGAAAATAATCATTTAACCCATATTTAGCTGTGGGTATATTGTGGCTTATTTTGTTAAATAGATGCACTGGTCCAAATTTTGACTCAAATATACAGTATATGTAGTATAAGATTTTTTTTTATTATACATTTGAGTTTTTAGAGAAAAGGACTTTTAAAGAGGGTAAATGTTAATATTGTCCTCAAAGCCAAATATCTTTTATTTATATTTGATGACTTATATAACTAAAAAGTACCACATGAAACTTCTACACGTTCAGCTGTTTTAAAAAGCAATGAAGTGAAAGCATTTCACAATATCAGCTGCAAAAAATATGTTCAGTTGTTTTTCCTCGGAGAATAACCGAAGACAACAGAAGAGGTCAAAGAGGTTAAAACTCTTCAAGACTGGTTTGTTGAAGCAGGAAGAGATGAGGAAACAAAGTCTGTTTCAGTTCTACAGTTTTATATTTCAGGTAAAATATGTAACAAGGTTGAGCCAGGTCCTCTGCACAGATTCTTCTTTGCTGAAACTTTTAGTCTTTTATCCAAAAGACTTCTCCAGTCCGAGGAGCTGCAACGAACTCAGTCAGGCCTGTCTCGTGTGGGATTTCTCCTCCTGCCTGGCTCCTGAGTTAATGGACGCTGTCCTCTGTGGAGGTTCTGGGTTTTGTCCTGTCTTTTTTGTTTCCTCGTGTTTTCATTCTCCTCTGTGTTCCTCATCCTTGTGTTCAGCTATTGTCTCACCTGCGTCCAATGCCAACCACCTCATTAGCGTGTGCATATATTCAGTTTCCTTGTGTCTTGTCATTTGTCCCCGGATTGTCCTTATGATCTGTCTCCTGTCCTGTACTTCAAAATTAAAGTAAGTTAGCTGTCCTGTCAGCGTTTGGATTTTGTTGTTTGAAAATAAATAGATATTTAACTCTTTAAATGGAGTCTCCTGTAGCCTTCCTGCACGTGGGTTCATCACACCTGTTACCAGATCATGACCGCCGCTCTGTGGTACAGAGTCCTGATGACTCCTAACTTGTGCTCCAGAGTGTGAAGGAAGTTAAACTGCAAGTACTGGTCTGTGTGGGTGGGAGAAATCCCACACAAGCAGGCCCTATAGAGCAATGTGGATATCCTGTCTTCCTGAAAGCAGAGAAGAAACCCAAACAGGACTCCAGTCAGCCAACAGGTGAAAAGGAGGAACCCAGACCCAGACCAGTGGTCATTCCATATGTTGTGGGAGTATCAGAGAAACTGAGACGTTTATTTTCTAAACACAACGTCCCAGTGGCTTTTAAACCCCAAAATACATTAAAGACTGGTTCATCCCAAAGATCCAGCGTTTATTGTGTATGCTGTTCAGTGTCAGGAGGGTGATCAGTCTTACATCGGGGAAACTAAACAGCCACTGGCCAAAAGGATGGACCAGCACAGAAGATCAACATCATCAGGCCAGGACTCTGAGGTTCATCTTCAGGCCAGAGGTGTCTCGTTCAGGGATGAAGATGTTCACATCCTGGACAGAGAGGAACGATGGTTTGAGAGAGGAGTAAAGGAGGCCATCTTTGTGAAAAGAGCCCGTCAGGGGCAGATGCCTCTGTGTTCAGTTGTCCCCCTTGCTGTTATTGTCAGTATCACACAGGCCTCTGTGAATAGCAAGCAGCCATCAGGCACTAACAATCAGTTATTAGGCTGATTGTCCTCCTTGATCATGTGAACAGCTGGTTTTTTTCTGTCACCAGCAAGTTGGTTGAGAAGGCGCTTTTCATAAGACTGAGTTTGTTGCAGCTCCTCACACTGAAGAAGTCTTTTGGATAAAAGATGAAACGTGTCAACAGAGGACCTGCTAGATTTCTGTTAGATAATCCAGGTAAATATCTACCTGGATTATTGAGCATGCATCAGGACAGTAAAAATGTAGTTTATTCAACAATGACTGTGCTGATCAAGAACAGCTCAACCATATATCTTTATACATTTTGTTTTTACATGGCAGGTTGAACTCCGTGCTCTTTCGTTCAAGCACTGCATGTTTTCATTACTTTTGACTTTTCCTAAATCTATAAATATTGGTTTGTTTTTAACTTTTGACTGAAGCCATCCAAAGCTCAGAGGAAAAACTTTACTTTTTGAATTACGTAAAGATATGTGAAAAACACTGACAAGTTATGTGAAGGCTTGGTCTAGGTTTACACGTCAGAATTCATTCATTCATGTAAGGATGACGTAGTTACTCCCTCCTGAGCTTGTGCGCTCCACCGTGATCAAAGGAAAGCCGTCGTCGCGGCCTTCTCTCGTCACGTGTGCTCGCGCTCGCGCTGACAAGCGGCAGAAAGTCCCGGAAGAGAGCGCATTATTTGTGGTGTCCGCGCGCTAGGTGAGGTCTACCTGCAGCACGGAGCGGAGACCAAGATGGAAACGGCCGAACTGCTCGACAGACAGCGGCTTCCTGCTCCACTTCTACCCGGGTAGAGTCACTTAAGCCTCCGGGCTCTCTTAAACCCGATTCTTGCCTTTTTTACGCATTTTCTTTCACTTTTAATGTTTTAAATCTGTGAGTTTTGTTGGTCTGCTCGGAGTGTTGGTGACGTCAGCTGTTCGCGTTGACTGATTTCACGTCAGTGTTCCCCGTCCTGTTTTGGTAACTTTATTTTGATGTGACTTGAATTTAACTCGGTGTATCAGAACTGTGTGACATGTGCCACCATGCTTCCTGTCTCTGTGGCATGTTTCAATGTCTGTTTTTTAATTTTAGGAAATGACTTCTAGGTCTTCCTTTCTGTGTTAGGTGGGAGGTCAGGATTTGAGCCAACGTCCTGGTCCAGTCTGAGCTGACTGAAGGTGGGTCCGGTCCGGTCCAATCCACCTGTGAGGAACAGAAGGAGAGGAAACAGGTCAGTTTATTTGGTCGGTTCTGTCTAATCATGTTTACAGCATTCCTGCAAGAACAAGCCTCACTTTGCTCAGTAAGTCAGATGATGATGATGATGATGATGATGATGATGATCACATTTTCCACAGATCATTCTTCATTCAGCACACTATATTTATCTGTGTCCAAAGGTGACGCGTTTATGGTTCTGTGTTTTCTGCAGAGCATCTTCAAACATAGACTGGCTAAAAATAAACCCAGCAGGCTATTTCAGAAACTTGAAAGTATGATCATCTGTGATATTTTTAGTTTTGACAGGTTGTCTTCACAGACCACCATAATTAACAATGAAATAATTAATCTTCTGTTGCTTTGCGTGCTGGCTCCCTTTCACCTCTATCTACTGGTGTAAGTGTTTTTAATTCAGGTCATCAGGACCATTAATGACCACCGCTGGAGGTCATAATGGTTTGGTCTGTCTGTTAGCATCATATCTCATGAACCAGTAGGCAGATTTTAATTAAACTCATTGCATGTACACCTAAACCAGCCACTAGGGAACACCAGCCAGTGTATCTCTTGTGCCAGTCCCAACTCCCAAGCCTGGGTAAATGGTGAGGGTTGTATCAGGAAGGGCATCCGACGTAAAACACTTGCCAAAACTATAATGCGAGTTCATCAAAGCGAAACTGGATCACTTGAGGCCCTGGTTAACAACCAACGCCGCCAGAGCTATTGACAAACAGGGTGCCGGCGGAAATTGTGCAACTGTTAGTGGAAGACCACGAGGAGAGAAACGTGTCAGGAAACAGAGAAGAGGAAAGTAAAGAATGTATGACTGAGGGTGACAACTCTGAATGTGGGACAATGACCGGCAAAGGTACAGAGCTGGCTGGCATGATGCAGAGAAGGAAGGTAGATGTTTTATGTGTCCAACAGACCAAGTGGAAGGGCAGCAAGGCTTGCAGCATTGGAGCAGGGTTAAAACTGTTTTACCATGGTGTAGATAGAAGAGAAATGGAGTAGGGGTGGTCCTGAAGGAGGAGTTGGCAAAGAATGTAGTAGAGGTGAAAAGAGTGTCAGATAGGGTGATGTGTCTGAAGGTAGAAGTAGAACGTCTAATGCTTAACGTTGTCAGTGGTTATGCTCCACAGGTTGGATGTGATGTGGAGGAGAAAGATACATTTTGGAAAGATTAGGGCTGAGTACCGAACCGAGGTTTTTTTATGGCACCAATCGAACTGCACCGGTTGGTGTATGTATCGAAACGTCACTCTTCTTTCGGTGTCAAGTTTCGGTATTGGCTGTAACGTGTCACGTGGTTTCAGCATGCAGGCAGACAAAACACCAGACATATGACAAACAGACTACACCCAGATTACACCCAGAGCTGTATAGAGCTGCTGTACCTAATCTATGTATAATTATGTCTATGGTGCTAGTGACGCCCACAGACGGGTTCACGTGTGCAGTCGAAGCCGTTCGACAACACGCGAGCAGAAAGTTGCTCCGTGTTTTTCTGCGAGGAGAGAGAGGAGTTCAGCAGCCTCCCCCTCCCCCTCCTCCTCCTCCTCCTCCTCTCAGCATTAAAGTCAGCCTGTGAGAGCCTGAACGTCCTGATTCATCATCTCCATGACCGGACTCTTCATCAAGGAACTCTGAGGACGTCTCTGTGTCTGTGCTTCAGCTGGTGAGTTTACGTTTGTTAGCGTAACTGCAGCTTAACACGTACATTGCGGTGAAATAAATTATGATCCATGTAACGCTAACTTTAACATGTTAGTGTGTAAATTTATTTTATCTAAGTAGCTAGCTAAACTCAGAAGCTAACTAAAGATTGACAGTAACATAAATCTTAGCTTTTAAAACTGCTCATCCATCCAGTCAGCTGCTTAAACAGTTCACTAATGTTCACTGTTTATGTTCATGTTCTCCTCACAGGAGCCTCTGACCCTGATGTGAGGAGGACAAAAGAAAAGCGAGGTGGGGGGGGGGGGG